GCCTGGTGTAGGAAAGTCTCTTTGCTTTAAAGAGATGATTGAGCCCAGGGACCAAAATCCTTATATATATAGATGTTCTCCCATCAAGAACATTTATCATCACAAACTCATAACATTCAAGAATTAATTCAAATTTATAATGTTTGAACCATGACGAAGAACTTTAATGATATTAAATATTTAATTTAATAATAACGATTTCATGTATAATAAATAAAAAACTGAAATCATTAAATCATAATAAATGAAAATTTTCATGATAATGAATTATGAATCTTAATGAGAATAATTATATTATTATTAAATTAGATATTTAATAATAAAGGTTATAAAATAAACATCCAAAGGCCTTTGTTTTAATTTGAGGATTGAATGATATTATCATTAAACATAAAAGTCTTTCTAGTAAATCATAAATTAAAAGTTTAAGATTTTTTAGAATAAAACATAAATCATAGTATATTTGAGAAAAAAAAACTTGAGATCACACCTTAAGCTTTGGTTCATATATCAGATTTTCTTACAAAAGATTACAGAAATCTCATTTCATTTATTTTATACCTTAAACATTAATCTTGATATATTTTTAAAAGTATCAACTTAATTGGTAAATACTTTAATAATTTATCATAAGATTTTATATTTAAATCTCGTATTCATCGCTTACCCACTTTCCTTTTGCACAAATAAACAAAAAAAATTATCCATACGATATTTGAACCCATCTTTTACTTAACCTTTACACACACACACACACACACACACACACACACACACACACACACACACACACATATATATATATATATATATATATATATATATATATATTTATTTATTTATTTATTTATTTATAGCGTTTAATGAAGTGATCCAAATGTCTTGCTTGAGATAGACCTTTCAAGATGATATTGTTTCCATCATTATCATTCTAGTTTTCAGTTGTAATAAAAAGACAAGGACAATTAATGCAAGACAAGATCAAGTGCTGTTTGCTTTGCCCAATAACCAGCTTGAATTGGTAGATGTACGAGCCTAACACTACAAAGCTGGAAACAGGCAATCGAGTGCCACATGCATTGCCATTCATGTGTCTCTTAATTAGATTCCAGTTGCAGCCAATCATGTTGGGCATCATTAATCTTCCTACCTAAAAGAAGGTCTTCTTCTCACCAGCTTAGCTTAGCTTAGCTTAGCTTAGCTAGCTCAGAATTGGAGGAGTACTAAACCAAACCCTCCTTTTTTGCTTTTATTTTCTTTTAATTTGGATCACTGGAATCCATGACCATGGCATCACGAAGCTACATCAATAGGAATGAGAAGCTATCACTCCGAATATAAATATAATAAAAATCCTATTATCTACAGCCTTGATAACAACACCACCATTGTTCTGATGATTAAAAGTTGAAGTATTATTTTGTTCCATGTTTAGTAACAAAAGTCGAAAATATTGTATAATGTTATGCGATAAGAGTAAGAAAAACTTAATAAGCATCAGAATCATCTCCATCTTCCAAAGACTTTTGAATCCTATCTCAAATGAACAAAATCAAGTGAGGTCCACTTTTCTCTTATCCTTTTCCACCCACAGTTGCATATAACTAACTTAATCAGAAACTGTCCTATTCCTTTATTATTTTTTCTTTTTTCTTCAACATTTAATTATTTTCTAGAATTAGCTTCTGTAAAAGTTATTTTTATTACCAATGAGTGGGGTAATTACCTGCAATTTATATTTTGAGATTTTAACAGTAAGTTATATGGAGCAGTTTATCATAGATAACTTAATGAGTCAACTTAGTTAGGTTAACAGCAACTTGATGGTGTTCTTGGTGAACCCATAGTTTTAATTCAGTATATATATATATATATGTATATATCCTTGCAAAGACTGTAAACAACATGATTTGTCATTATAAATCATAATGAAGTAGCACATTTATCCATCCCAATATTAAGAAACTCCTCAACATTCATCTACAAAATTCAGATAAATTAAATTTAATTATTAAAAAATTTGGAAATGATGGATGGTGTGCAACAACAATAAATGATGGATCCTAGATCACAAGATACAATTCAAAATTCCAATAGTTTGTTTGATTTTAAGAAGAAGCATATAAAAAAAAATTACTAATTTTGAAAGGCCAAATAAAAATTCACCGACTTTAGATGAATGTGCAGTCAACTTTCCCTTTTAATTTATTTTATATCTATCTTATTTCGTGTGTATGATATGATATAATATAATAATAGAGGAACTTCCTTGAGGGTTCACTCTGTACTAAAGGGCTAAAAAAAAAAAGAAAGAAAAGAGAGAGAATAAATTAAGGGAGGTTTCTCGTTGCTCCACCTGACTGCGTGTCTTATTATTATTATTATTATTAGAAGAGTAGAAGACTTATATTTCCGCTCGATCCAAACTGACCACTTATCCATATTCTATTGTGTAACAACTAATAAACAGATCTGCATCTGAGCTGTTGACGCCAAGTTTACAGCACCGTCGTCCTTTTTTTCACTACAATCTACGTGAATCCCATGTACGTCCACGTTAATATAATCCCATGTACTCTCTCTCTAACACTGTCACTTATTGTAATCCATTAAATCCGTTAAAGTTCGCACACCATTAAAAGATTAACTCTCTCTCTCTCTCTCCACAATCACCACCCCCACCCCACCTTCTCTTTAAAAGCCCATCTGCGTTGCTCTGGTCGTCCAAACTGACTTCTCTCTTGATCGGGTTCCACAGACTCCGCCATCAAGATGCATCAAGAGGAGGGGTTCAGCTTCTGTCCGCCAGACTCCTACTCGGACCTGGACAGCAGCTTCACCAGCTCGACGACGTCGGCTTCCACTTTAAGTGCCCGCAGCAGTCTCAGCCTACCGTCCTTCTCGACCTCCTCCTCCTCCTCCTCCTCCTCATTTGCTATTAAGCCACTTCCCCGCAACTCCTCCGATCCCCACTGGTCCGCGCTTCGCGCAGTCGGCAACCTGTCCCCTGATGGCCTCCTCCACCTCCACCACTTCCGCCTCATCCGCCCCCTCGGCTCGGGCCACCTTGCCCGCGTCTTCCAGTGCCGCCTCAACGGCTTCGATGACGACCGCTCTCCCGTCGAATTCGCCCTGAAGGTCATTGACCTCGATGCTCTCTCCCGCTCAAAGGCCGATTACTCTAAGCCCGATAACGACAACGATGATGAGGATTGCGGCGACGAAGGCGGGAAGACGTGGCACGTGTCGGCGGAGGCGCGGGCTCTGGCGGAGATGGACCACCCGTTTCTGCCGACGCTGTACGCGCGGCTCGACGCCTCCCACTATGCTTGCTTCCTCATCGACTACTGCCCCGGAGGCGACCTCCAATCCCTCCTCAGCCGCCGCCGCGGCAACCGACTACCGCCGGCGGCCGCTCGGTTCTACGCCGCCGAGGTGCTTCTCGCCCTCGAGTACCTCCACGCCCTCGGCTTCGTCTACCGCGACCTCAAGCCCGAAAACATCCTCCTCCGTGCTGACGGCCACGTCATGCTCTCCGACTTCGACCTCTCCTTCCGCTCCCACGTCTCCCCCGCCCTCCTCCGCCGTAGCCGCCTCCCGCGCCGCAGGAGCCGCTTTCTCTGCTGCCGCTTCGGCGCCGGCGGGGCCTCCGGAGAGGGCGAGGAGCTCGAGTTCGTGGCCGAGCCGTCGTCAGCCTTCTCGAGGGCGTGCGTCGGGACGCACGAGTACCTGGCCCCGGAGGTGGTCAGCGGAAGCGGCCACGGCAGCGCCGTCGACTGGTGGGCGTTCGGAGTGTTCCTATACGAGCTCTTGTATGGGCGCACGCCCTTCAAGGGCGCCACCAAGGAGGCGACGCTGCGGAACATCCTGACGCGGGAGGTGAGGTTCCCGGAGACCATCAACGGCGGCGACGAGGCCGAAATGGCCAAGGCGAAGGACCTGATCACGCGGCTCCTAGTGCGGGACCCGGCGGCGAGGATGGGGTCAGCCGCTGGGGCCACGGAGATCAAGCGGCACCCCTTCTTCGAGGGCTTGTGGTGGCCGCTGATCCGCTGCGTCCGGCCCCCGGTGGTCCCGGGTCCCGCCGGCGGGCCACGGGTGCAGGCGGCCACCGAGGGCAGTGGGCGATGGTTGAGCGGTTGGAGGAAGAGTAGTAACAATGATAAGATAAGCAACAGGAAGAAGAGGGGAACTAAACCGGGGCTTGGCTTTGGGTTCAGGGTGCGATCTCAGAAGAAGGGGACTAAGGAAAGGAGTGGTGGTGCTTGATGTGTTTGCTCTTACGAGGAGTTTGTACAAAGTAAATGAGTTGCAGTTTCCAGAAACGTGATGGTGATGATGATGATGATGATGATGTATCTTTTTACTGTACAAAAGTTATCAGACTATTTGGTGCAAAATGTTAGGGAGATTTATGATGTCTGTCAAAGATCACATTGTGCAATCTTAGACATGATAGAAATGTTGCATAAGATGTTGGAGTCTTATGCAACAAACATAGAGGTCTCAGCCCAAAGCGTGGAAGATCAAACCAGCCCAAATTCCTACACCAAAAACAGTTTGCAGCCAATTCGACATCTTATTTTTGAGTAATAACAAAATCATGACACCGCGGTTTAACGACTCCCAAATAAGCCGCACAATGTTGAAGATTATGTTATATTATTTACATGTGTTATAATCTTTGTGCTTCTTGTATATCTTATATTACATGGAATTTCACAGGTTTAATTATTTCCATTGTTGCTTTTTCTTTGTTCTTAATATTATATAATTATATAATTTTCTTAATATTATATATAAGAGTAACATGCTGCAATATAAATTGCAAATCCCCTTGCAACATGTAGATGTATATTTGAGTCATATATTCTATTTGTCATTAACAAAATGTTTGCAAATGTACCACTTGAGATAGGCTTGTAGGCATCTCATTTGCATGCAAAGACCCAACTCCTTTTTAAACATTTGTGAAATTTCACAGAACTTCATACCTATTCGTAAAATTTGTGCAGCTTTATTTGAAAATATATATTAAGGACTCGAGGTCTAACGAGCAACGATAAAAATACTGCCTGGTAATGCTAACTGTTCTACTAATGTTCAAGCGAAAATAAACACAAGATCAGTTCTATCCTAGAAGAGTTACCAGCTTTGCTTTTAGGTATTGAGTGGTGGAAAGTGATGGACAGGGGTGGCACGGTCATGCTACCTGGAAATCTTCGCAGTAAGCTCCCTTACCAGCTTTGCAGCTACCATTGCTGTCATTCCATCAACAGTATCACGCTGTGGGTTGAACTCCACAACATCCGCAGCTACGATGTCAGCTTGCAGATTGTGGAGAATGTTGAGCACATCACGGAAAGAGAGACCTCCTGGCTCAATGTGCGACACTCCGGGAGCGAATGCAGGGTCCAGGCAATCGACATCGACCGAGACGTAAACACCCTTGACACCTTCCCCTAGTTTCTGTCAAAAGATCAAAGTACAAATCACTTGGTAAAACCAGAATGATATGCAGCAGTAATCCATGTCATGAGATTGATGATTAACATCTTAAATTTATTGATGCTCGACAAGTCACATGAAAGAACCCAATTCAGCTAAATGCATTTGCCTTCTTGCAGTTTAATCTTCCAGAGAGGATTATGTTCCTTTTAGTTCCTCTCTTGCAGAAATCATTATTTTAGTGCACACAAGAGAAATTAGGATGAATACCAGAAGTTATTTCAGTTTGATCCATGCTACTGAGTTCATGAACCTTGCAACTCTATTCAGTATAGATTAATTTGGATTGTAACAAGTTCAGAGAGAATAATTGGTCAGTGGAGCGTGAATTAGAGCTTCTAGATAAACCATCATATCAGCATTCATATTAATGAGTAATTCATTGTTTGATAAAACAAGATTCTATACCAGATTTTCCAAAATATGACGGTCTCTTGAAAAGGTGCGCATTTCATATTGCTCAACCCCAAATCTTTTCCCTTGTTCACGTCCTTCACGAGTTATTGATCTAATACCAACCTGAAATTCAGAGATGCATGTGGCAGAGTCATTTACAATCTTACAGGCACGACTCACAGTAAGACATTCTAGAAATAAGAGGATATAAAACTAAGAGTAATCATAAGTGTCAATAAGACTTGCAAATTGTTTAAATCGCATAATTCAGCAAATGCAAATAAGAAGAGTATGGATATTCTAATCTAATCAGAAAAGAAATCCTCTCAGACGTACTATATATGTAACTATTAACGGAACCATTTGTATATACAATTTACTAGCAACAAGATTATGTACATCCAAGTTTTCAACCGACATTATAGAAAAAAAAAATTAACCATACTGCTTTCTATATCGTCACGAACTTAGCTAGTTTTACCTAAGTCGTACGGCATCCTTGCGTGTCTGCCCACAAAGGTCAGCCTTCCCGAAACCTCCTATGATACTTTAGGACCTACAAAAAAGAAAACAGGTTAGAGAAAGCGTTTCACTTGGGATCCACAAGCAACCATTTCAGCAAACACTTTTTAGTCAATGCAAATTACAAACATAAGCTTCACAAGCTCTAAACGGTCGTACAACAAATGGGCCAAAATGGTTCACTATAGACCGAAATCCCCACAAATACCCACATAACACAACTTTCGTTTACAAGCCTAAAATAACCACCAAAGCCAACCAAAATGGGACTGTCAAGCCTACGGCCAACCCTCTACATGTTGTGCAAAGCATGAACAAAACTGAAAGGCACGGACATACATGAGCATTACATCAAACACCTTGTTTACAACTTTGTCCGTGACATTCTCCCCCACTTATTCCTTCGACATCCTCATCGAAGCCTTTGCTGACGCTGCATCTCCTCGCCTTTGCTGAGTCTTTAATCTTCCATTCCAACTGCAACGCGCCTCTTGGCTCCCAGCTTCTCTCCACCGTTGTTGTTGAGTAGTCGAACTTTGATTCGCTATGCTGCTTCAACTCGCCAATGACTCTACTCTGGTATAGGGTCAGGTGAGTTGTGCTGATCCTTGTTGGTTCCTACGGATCCTTCAAATGAAGGAAAATACCTTCCTTGTTATGCCTCAATCTCTCAAATGCCTCGTGCCACTTGAACCGGGTGGATGTTTGTTGGAGCTTTAACGAGTATCGCCTCGCAGATTTCGAAGTTTTTGGGTCCTTCCTCCACAAAAATTTGCTCATCGATTCTTCTTCAGCTTAGTTGTCACTTCCAAGTAGGTTCACATCACTTCCACTTTCGATTGACAATTTGTTAAGAAATGAAACGGACAATCTACCCTCAGTAGCATCGATCACCATTGGTGAGGATTTAACAACTATTATCTTTCATTAGATTTCTTCAAGGGTCTTTGAACTTGTGCAGAGCTCCTCTGCTGGATAAATAAGAGAACTGGGGTACTCGGTTTCGCCCATTCACTTAAGAGTTGAGAAGGCAAAGGTTACTCGACTTTGCCCGCCTCCTCGAGGGTTGTACTCTATGCATCGAGCTGGTTACTAACCTTCACCTGCTCTTTGCTCACACTTCTGAAGCACCCGAAGTGTTTGCACTCTTTATGTTGAGTTAGCTACTATGATTCACCTCAATACCATCGAACTTCTAGAATACAAGAAGTTTTCATCCCAACTTGGAGCATGTCTCTAATAGTTTTGGTCATCTTTGGGATTATACCATCTTCTCCATCATCTCTGTCGCCTACTCCTTTGAGTAGCAAAGGTACAACAACACGTACTGGTTACTTCGTTCCTTGGTTGAGCACTCTTGCATTGACCCGAAGTCCTCCACTTTCAGCCATCTTAATAAGAAGCTCATTGACACCGGTCTTACGAAGTTCCCTAACCTCTACCCTTTAGCCTTGTCTCGGTACTTGGAGTTTGCCTCTGCATTCTCCACATCTTCGACCCCTTTCACGACCAAGCACTCTCCCTCTATGAAAGTAAGGGATCGATGACTCCACGGAAGTCCCGCCTCTGCGGCACTATGGCGCTGCCATGCCCATGGCCCCACTATCTACCGCCTCGCATCTGCGTCCCTTTCTTTGCGATCGGTAGATCCGCCTCTGCGACACTATGACACTCCTCCGAGTCTACCTCCATTCTAACCGATACTTGGTTTTAGGTAGCTAAGTCGCTCTGGACTCGTCATCGCTTCCTTACCCCTTTCGACCACCTACTTCAACACCTCTGTGTTCTCCGACCAGTTTCCCTTGATCGATAGAATGACAGACTGCAACTCTCATGCATGGCCTCCGCCATCATGTTGTAAGGCTCGCACCGATTCTGTTCTCCTTAGCTTCCTTGGTAGCAACGTTTGCTTACTCGACCTTGTCCTCTGACTTGCTGAGCTCCCTTAAGCGAATAAAAGCTCTGGAGCAGTCCATGAGCGAATAAAAGCTCCGATCATGCCCCTATGATTAAGTTCCCCCTATGAGACTCATTGGTACTTGCATTT